CGGGGGGCGGCGGGCACGCAGGTACTCGCGCAGGTTGCCCTTTGCAGCGAACTCCACGATCACGTACAGCGGCCCTGGGAAGGGTGTCCGCTCCGCTCAGCCCCTGCCCTGTCCCACCCCAGCATCTCGCCTGCCACTGTCCCCAACAGCCCGGGCTCCGTGCCCGTGCCCTGCCCACTCAGGCCCCTCACCGTCCTGCGTGCACACCCCCAGGAGATTGATGATGTTCTTGTGCTTGTCCATGAGCTTCATCATCTCCATCTCGGATATGAGGTCAGCCAGGTCCTTGTCCGTGGCGTTGTCTAGGGAAGGAGGGCCGTGTCACCATGCCAGCTGGGGTGGCACTGCAACCTAGTACTGACGTCACCCCTGTGCCTGGGACACTGGCAGGAGAACCGTTACCTTTCAGCATTTTCACAGCCACGGTGACAGCTCTGTCTGGCCGGTCTCGGTCGATGCCGTAAGCCTCTGCCCGCACCACTTGGCCAAAGCAGCCTTCCCCCAGGGGCTTGCCCAGCACCAGCCTGGCAGGGACGGACAGAACCGTGAGGCACCGCAGGGATGGCCCCGCTCCCTGCCACCGCACGGCCAGAGCCTGAGGGGCAGCCCCTTTCCGGTCCGAGCCAAGTCCCTGCATCCCAGGGTAAGGCAGTGCTGAGGTGTCTGTTGATGACTGGAGACCTCCCCATCCCTCACCCGCTTGCTGCTGTCCCCAGGGTGGCTGGAGAGAGCAGCCCCCAGACCCAGACCTGCCCCATGCCGCCTGGCACCGTACTTGTCTCGGGGGAACTCCCACTTGGCATCGAGGGGCAGGTCCAGCTCCATGACCCCAGCCAGCATTGGGGCGCAGCTGGAGGAGAGACGAGTGACGCGCATCAGGGATGTGCTGGACTTCCCGGAGGAGCTGGAGTCCAGGGAGAACTGCAGAGAGAGCCCAAGGGACCTCAGCCATCCCACCCCATGCTCCGGGGCCAAACAGAGACCCAACAGTGCTGCAGAGAGACCCCTGCCCGCAGTGACAGGGCAAGGGAGCCGCAGGAGGCAGCGGGGACGGCAGCCCCAAGGCTGGCAGCTGGGTAAAGGCGTGACAGATGCAGGTGGCATTCGGTCACCAAGGTCCCCTTGTGTCCCCAGGGCTCCAGCTTGGCACCCACCTGTCGGATGAGCGGGAATTTGGAGAGCTTGTGGACGGCCATGGGCTCCAGGGGCTGCTTGCTCGACTGAGTCTGCATCCGGCACAGCACCACGATGATGGCGGCCATGGCCACGGCCAGCGAGCCCGAGGTGTAGATGATGATGTCTGTGTACTTGCCCTCGGGGGCTTCGGCTTCCCGCACCAGCTCCTCTTCTGGAGGGAATGAGTCAGCCTGAGCCTTGGTGCCCGTCTGCCAGCGATCCCGGCTCCCACCCCAGGACCCCCAGCCCTACCCGGCAGCACGGTGAGCCAGGCAGACTGGTAGGAGAGGCCAATGGAGTTCCCTGCCAGGCAGGTGTACTCGCCAGCATCCTCCACGGAGACGTTGCGCAGGTACAGCACCTCCACCTCGGAGCTGTTGATGTCTGCGGTCTGCCAGGGCGAGGGGTGGATGGTCGGCATCCCTCTTCCTTGAGGGGCTCTCTACGTCCCCTGCCACCACTTTGGGGTGGGCGTCTGGGACACGGGTGCTTCCAGCCCTTGTTACCTTGAGCACTTGCACGTAGGGGACCCCGTCAGGACCGTAGCTGCTGCCGTTCACCTCGATGTGCTTCAGCCACTGGATGTGGGGCTGGGCATCGCTGTAGACCTTGCAGAAGAACTCGACGTCGCTGCCCACCAGCGCCGTGGTGTTGGCGGGCAGCCCGGCCTGCAAGATGGGCCTGTGCGGGGACCTCTCTGCGCAGGAGAGCAGAGCGCTGTCACCGACAAGACAGCACACAGCCGGGGCTCCTTCCTGCCTTCCT